AGTTGTCCTTGAGGCAAGCTACAGTCAGCAGACAAATCTGTCACAGCCGCTCTGACTTCCTGTGACTCTAGGAACTAATGTATATCACTTCTGCACTAGGTCTGAATGGAGCTGTCTTTCCTCAGTGTCTGAGGCCCCTTAATTCCCTTCTTAAGGGAGAAACCTTGTATGAAGAGATCGGCAATGCTCAGGCAGTCTTGTGAATCACTTGCTTGTGGTCAAAGCCGCTGTCATCTTTTCAGTAATTAGCTGGCTTCCTAAAATGGCCTGCAGAAACAGATTGCTCTGATACAAACAAACAAACAGGTCTTGACAGGACACTGCCAGTACTGCTCCCAGACCCTATGGAAGCTGTGAGAAGGGCTGCGGTGTCTGACTGGAGCAGCCCTAGCAGCATACCTACAGCCAGCGCAATGTCTAGCTGCTTCTGCAAGCGCTGTCGAAGAACCATGTGTGTAAACTCCCACTAGCATCTGCTGGAGCTTTGTATTCCAAAGGGAAAAATGAATCTTTGCTTATGTGCATTCTTAAGCATTTCAGCAGTAGGGGAAATAAGGGTGCAGATGCTCACTCTAGCTAAAAACACTTGTAAAATACAAAAGCATGACCAATGTATAGGAAAATACTGACTCCTGCTTCTTAACCTACTGCCTAGGGTAGGAGATGGAAGGGCTTCAAAATCATCTTTAGTTCTTTCCTGGAAGAAAGTCCTTATGAACAGGTGCTGTTTATTTCCAGACTAGTTTGTTACTGGACAGTAAAGGGACCGCCTTAAATCTAGCGTTTACAAAAGTTTGCACAGGGTCCTGAATTGTTCCAGGCCCTGAGTTGTTCCATAGCTGGAAGTAATAATAGAAGACTGGGGAGGAAACTCCCTCTTTCTCCTTGTGCTTCACCTTGAAGCAGCTGCTAGCAAAGCCAGAAAACTCCTTTGCCCCTCAGTGTATTTAATACAGCCTTGGCAAAGGGACTGCAGTCTGTCATCTCATGAATATGGGAACTGTCTATTTCTCCAGCGGCTCTCACTAGCTCAGCTTGAGGGTCCTAGCATTCTATAATTAGTTCCTGAAATTACATACTTCTCACTGTCCTTGAGCAGCCAATTCCTGCTTCTTGCATAACTGATGCTGGGATCTGGTAACGCAGGTAGTCCTGGGGCCCTCCCTCAGCAGGGATGGTGCTGTTGACAAGGCTACTGATCCTAGCTCTCCTATGAAGTCCCTGGAGCTACTCGCCCTTTGCTGCTGTAACTTCCAGTAGAGTGTTTTGAAAGACCCCTTCCTACCTTGGTTGTCACTCTCATACTCTGCACACCTATGCAGTCTAGGGGCTTGCAGTGCCTCCCACCTGTTGCTCCATTTTCCCCTCCTTGTCACATACATGCTCAGTCTACCTTCTTCCCCTAGGTCCATGCGTCTGTTTTCTCTCCTGCATTATATTCCCCTAATCTCGCTGATGCTGCTAGCTCTGCCCATCCTTCCAGCACTCAGAGCTAAAGCTGTTCCTGTGGCTGCCAGGCTGATAGAGCTGCTGTGAACTGCAAAGCAGTTGGAAGCCGAGGCTGAGCAAATTATGAAGCAGGGACTGTGAGACCTGTGGAGAATCTGGCCAGAGGTGAATAACTTATTCAAAGGATGCACCAAATTGTCTCTGGGAATGTTAGCAGGAGATATGTGAGTGGGGAAAGTCACTGAGCTGTGGACAGTTTTACAGTTCTGACTAAAGATTGCTGCATGTTATACCTCACTGTCTCACAAACACCCACCACTGGTGCTGCCACAGTGCTTTGGACAAGGAGAATGTGCTCATACACTGCAGCACGAGTTGAGGAAGTCTTAATGCTGGTCCCAAGGGCCAACTGCCTGCAGAGCATAGGCTTGGGTAAAAGCTCTTCTAGAGGAGGCCAAGAAGTAGCTACAGTAACACAGGTTACTGAGTTATGCTTCCACCTTACCACAATCATAACTTCTTTCTGTTTCTTCTGTGATACCAGTTTTTTTTTCCCCTAGAGCTTGACAAAAAGTAACTGTATCAACATTAAACAGCAGATTGGGTCTTTGAATTATTCAGTCTCTTTTGTGGTTTGAAACTGGCCTGTACAGAAGCAGCAGAAGGAATCATGTTGGAAGTCCATCGCTCTGTAACCAGAGCCTCCCTTTCAATTAATCCTATTATGGGGCTGTAAATACAATAACTTCATCAATATTATGGAACAGTCATGCTGCATTTGTATTAGCATAAATGAGTGCTAATGTGCCATAGAGCTAATCTGATATGGCAGTAATTGACTGATGCCCAGCAATGGAGGCCCTGGAGCTACACTTGTTCTCCTCTACAACAACTGTCCCTCTGAAACCCTGGAGAGGAAACAACTTGGGATGAGATCAGTGACTCCAAACTCCTTAAATCTTGTCTGCTAGTAATAAATGATGCTTCTTGCAACTGCAAGCACTGAGGTGGGTGGTTTGGTGGTGTTGGGCGTGTGGTTGTTGTTGGGGGTGTGTGCGTGTGTGGCTTTTTTTTTTTTTTTTGTTAGAGTAGAACTTGAACACCTACAAACTTGGATCTTAAGAAACAAGAGTCTCTAGAATACCTTGCAAGACTAGGTCAGCCTGGTCAAGACTCCCCGAGCGCCTGATAGATGTTAAACCCAGAAAAGATGTAAAGATATTTAATCTGTCCTCCTTTCTCTTCCTTCAGCGAATCTTGGGAGCTATACAGCATCACTTACTCCTTAGTAGGTTTGCCTTACACAAGTGTAAAAAGCCTAAAATTTGGCAGATGCTTTGGAGCTATTGGAGTCTTGTGCTATTCCCTACAGAAAGGATAGCAAGAGTTAAATCTGAGACTGGGCTGCAGCTGGGCTTCTCTGCTTAAAGGCCTTGTCTTAGTTTCTGAAACAGTGGATAGAGACTGCTTGTGGTAAATAGCAAAAAGCAGCCTTCCTGGATAAATATCATAGCTTCAACACAAAAGACACAAGGAGACGCAATCAATGTAAGCAATGCCTAAAGATGGGATCCAGATTTCAAACACAACCCAACTCTTGTCTGGACCATAACCAATGAGGGATGTACCTTCAAAAAGGCTAGGGGCTGGAGTCTTCTGGATTATAGCTACGGTAGGGATTACTTTTTTTTTTTTATTCTTTTCAAAATATGGCCCTTAGAGCTAACTCTCTTTCAAAAGAGACCCTCCAATAGTGAGGAAGGCTATTGGAGAAGACATGCTGGAAGCCCAGATATCTGCTATTTAGCTCATCAGCTCTGCAACTATACAACACCTTGCCTAATACAGCTTCATCCATTATGGAGCCCTTGGTTTCTCCCTCAATACAAACTAAACAATCAGAAACCTATTTTAATCAGCAACTACCCCTCTCAACAGCATAGCACCAAAGGCAAACAAGTTTTGACATGTGCAGCAGCAGTAGCTCAAAAATCCCAGAGCATCCACAGCCTGTCGGTGCCCATAGCTGCTGCTGGAGCAGGTAGTGAATTTGAGACAATGCTGGTACAGGAGCTGGGGAGGAGCACCTTAAACAGAGGATTTAGGATCTGTGACATCCCAGTTATGCTTCTAGTTTTGACTCTAAGCTTTTTCAAGCCTCTTATCTGCTCCTGCATCTGTAAAAATGGGATCAATAAAACCTCCCCAACTTGCAGCAGGGCCCTGAGTCTTAACAGAGGTGTGAAGCATTTTGAGAGCCATGAATGGAAGATACCATTACCAGCCCCTCAGCCCCTACTATAATACCAAGAAGCAATGCAGAATACTGTTTTTTACAATGCTTTTTCAGTGCCACAATGACTAGGAAATGAAAGAAGTCCAAAAGTGCAGAGACAAGCAGTGTTTTGCTGCAGCGTTGAGAAAAATGGTAGAAGCAGGCTTATAGACACCCTAGAGAACTCTGTTGTATTCTGTACTAATTTCAATAATCCAGTAAAACTTCTTCCTCTGCACACTTAAACCCATGCCCTTGCTATGAAACACGGTTATGAATTTGGGAGAAACGCATGCTGGAGTTGAGAACGTTATGAATCAGCCTGATGAAATGAATTAAGAAATGACGTCTTTGCATCCTGCAGGCTTAAAGAGCCAGGTGCTGTTCAGTCCTCCTTTGGAGCAATCAAACTCGGCCTCACACCGTACAAGCATGCAGCATCACTCCTCGCACAGGACAAAAGCCACCCAGCTACCTACAAAAAGACTCTAACCCGGCCAATCTTGTCAATTCGTAAAGTTGTCTCTGAGGCTGCTATATAACACCCACGGGGGGAAGCGCCAGGAGGGCTCACTGGGAGCCTTGGTGCAGCAAGGTGTGCAGAGGGGGAGGACGATTTGCCCGGACCTGAGCATTTCAGGGCCATCCCCGAGCTGCAGCTGGGCGCTGGGAGCGAGGCGCTGGCAGGGGCGCGCAGGCTGCCCCGCGCCGGGACG